TGGCTGCCTCCTACTCTTTCCTGGTGTGCTGCTCCCACGAATGCCCTGGCTGCCATTTTCACCTGGGGAGTCGCCAGGGGAAAGACCAGCTGCTCATATTTAGATTTTTGCAGCTATGGCTCCCATTTCCAATCCTGGCTCATTTCCTCTATTTTCTCTACACTCCAAGAGCGGATGTCAAGTATATATGCCCTGCTCCAGTCTTCCATCAGGCACCACCCTTGGCTCATGCCCTATTTTGATACCATCTGCTTGGGGACATAGAGGATAATAATAAGAGCTTTTACTTATTGAGTGCCTGCTGTGAGCTAAGTATTTACATACCTAATTTCAAATTCTCACATGATCCTTCAAGGACAGTATTAAACCCATTTTTATAGATTTAGGAAGTGAAGCTCAGAATGGTGATGAAGCCCTTCCAAGTTTATTTGATGGAGGATTTGTATTTGGGACTTTCTCTTTGCCATCAGTGGAAGACAGTTCTCTTTCCCTGGAAAACTATGTTAACATTTTCTTTGATTGACTCTGCACTTTCCGTAATAGCCGTCCCCGGAGAGCTGCTCTCCCACTCTCATCCCATGCTGGTGTCTTAAATTTCCCACAGTGATTTGGCCCTTACATTGAATTTTCTGGCTTCTTGTCTCTTAGATTCAACTGATATCTTAAAATATCTGATTAGTACTTAATAGTGTTGGCAGGTTAAAAACATATTTTAAAAATGAAAGTATATTTAGGCACTTAATTTTCTGAATTCACTCATTGAGAGTACATATTTTTCTATGTTATACAGAGAAACTGGACAATGAAATGACCACCTGTTAGCTGCTAATGATGTTCACATGCCTTTAAAAAAGTAATTCTGGCTTTATCTGTCTACAATCTTGGCGACAAAACTCGTGGGAACTTGAAGGGCACAGGAAGCCAAAGGCAGCTAACTGGCAATAAAGTTTGTGCTCGGACTACTAATAAGGAAGGAGATATTGTGAATCACTAATTCTACATAATTATTTTGTCTCAGGAGAGTGACATAAAACCGAACACATTTTTTAAGACACTAAGTTTTGGTGTTCAAATCTATCTAGGATAGATCAAAGGAGTTACACAGAGTGTATTTCTTACTTGAAAAAAATTTTAAAATACCAATATAAACATGCCTATTAGTATTGCAAAGGTATAGTCTGATACTGTGTGGATGGTTCAGTCAGTATGGCTCTCAAATGAAAATGAATACATAAATACTGAATATACTTAATTCAAAGTGATAGATGACTATTAACCATATCCTACATTGTAGAAAAATATACTAACCCTAATGAAAGCTTACAACTATAAATATACAGCAAAAGAGAAAAGAAGCATTTTCTAAAATTAGGGCTGGCATAAAGGTTAAATGACCCTTTTGTTTTAACAGTGATATCAAAGTCCAAAGTAAATATCTCATTTTAATTATTTTGTTAATATGTTTTTTGGTCCCTGCTTCAGTTTACTGATTTCTATGGATCCCATTTTAATATAAATTTTCTACCCAAATCCAAGGTTGATAAACTAACTTTACTTTCATTTGTTCTCTTCACTGTTGTGTAATGGTACAGGGCATAGGCTCTAGTATAAGACTGCTTAACTTCAAAAATTGTCTCTATAACTTCTTTTTTGTACAAGTTGTCTATATTCTCCGTGCCTGTTACCTTATCTATAAAATGTAATTAATGATATTACCTACCTCATTGGATTAGTGGGATGATTAAGTCAGTATAAGACAAGCACTTACAACAATGCTTGGTGAACAGTAAGTGCTCAGTATTTACTAGCAATCATTATTTTTGAACTACAAAGAAAATGGTGAATTTAAGGTTATCATACAATTAGGTATAGTTTAAATTAAATAGAGCAAATCATATGTGTCTCTGCCTTTGACTTTAGGCAGGCTTGAGTTTAATCCCAAAATAAACAGATAATTGTCTTTCTCGATTAAAAATAAATTCTACCTAGAAGACAGGCAGTAAATTTCCATATATTTCTCATAGCAATATTTTCATAGATATATCTTCTTGAGCAAGGGAAACAAAGAAAAAATAAACAAATTGAGAGTACATTGAACTAAAAAGGTTTTGTAAAGCAAAAGAAACCATCAACAAAATGAAAAGGGAACAAACCACTAAATGAAAGAACATATTTGCTAATGATAAATCTGATAAGGGGTTAATTTCCAAAATATATAAGTGACTTATGCTACTCAATACCAACAAGACAAACAAACCAATTAAGATGGGCAAAAAACATGAATAAACATGTCTCCAAGAGGTCATACAGATGGCCAATAGACAAGTGAAAAAATGTTCAAGATCGCTAATTATTAGAGAGATGAAAATTAAGCCCACAATGAGCATCATCACCGCATACCTGTTAGAATGGCTGTTATCAATATATAAACAAACAACAAGTGCCAGTAGAGATGTGGAGGAAAAAAAAACTTGCTGTGCACTGTTGGTGAGATTGTGGGCTGGTACATCCACTGTGGAAAACTATGGAGTTTACTAAAAAAATTAAAAGTGGAACTTTTTTTTGACCCAATGTTCCCACTTCTGGGAATATATCTGAAGAAACCCAAAACACTAATTTGAAAAAATATATATGCACCTTCCAATGTTCATTGCAGCAGTATTTTATAATGCCTAAGATTTGGAAATGGTCCAAGTGCCCATTGGTGGATGAGGGGATAAAAAACCTGTGGGACATTTACATGATGGAATACTACATGGCTGTAAAAAAGAAGGGATTCTTACCCTTTGTAACAGCATGGGTGAACCTGGAGATTATTATGCTACGTAAAATAAGCCAGTATGGGAAAGACAAGTACCATATGATTTCAGTTATATGTGAAATCTAATGAACAAAATAAACTGTGAACAAATAGAAGCAGAGGCATGGAGACATGGAACAGACTAACCACTGCCAGAGGGGAGGAGTTGGGAGACTGGATGAGAGAAGGTGAAGGAATGAAGCAAACACATATTTATTTATTTATATAAAAGAGAAAGACACAGACAACAGTGTGGTGGTAGCCAGAGGCAAAGGGGAGGTTGGGGATAGGCAGAGGTGGGCAAAGAGAGGAAAATGGGGATGGAAAAAGACTTTGCTTGGGGCCATGGGCACACAATGCAGTGAGCAGATGGTTTTTTGTTGAGTTATACATTTGAAAACTGTATGGTTTTGTGAATGAACCAATGTCACCTCAATACATTCAATAAAACATACAAACCATTTAAAATTTTAAAAAGTTAAAGTAAATTCTAAACAAGAGGAAGTGGTATTCTGTCTGTACGAATTTTATCTACAGTATCATCCTAAAACATTTTGTGTGGCTATTACCGAACAAAGAATCCATTGCCTGAATGTTTCTCAAACACACTTTTGTAGCCCTATTTTTTCCAAGATCCAGGCTTTAGAAATGTGTGAGATCTGTCAAGCAGCAATTTTACCTGAGATTCCAGATCTATTGATCATTACCTCATCCATCCTTTATGTATACTTCAAAATGGCTATATAATTAACATAAACTATAAGCTCACAATTTAATTCTAATTCCAAAATCTTATCTTATGTCTGATCCCATATGAAGTAAAAGGGGACAGTGACCAAGAGTTAAAGGGAACTGTTCAAATGACATAACTGCAAACTGTACCGTCATGTGGAAGAATCTTTTTAAATGTAATGCTAACTTTCCACAACATACTTGCAAAGCACTGTGAAGTTGAAGACATTAACACTGATCATTTTAAATTGCAACTTAAAACAACTGGCTTACTAAATATGTATCTAGCAGTTATTGAAATGATGAAAGAGTTCTTAAAATAATGACTCACTTTTAAAAGGGTGAATCTACTTGAAATTATCATGCCATTTCTCTATTTTTAGGCTCCCAATTATTTAGCTTTAGAAGATAAGTTATCACATACAAATAGCTTTTCTCTTTCTATGTGGCTATTTCCTTTTTTCCTCTTGTGTATGAATGTGCATGCATGATATATATATATATATATATAATCTTTCCTAACACACAAATATGTGTGTGTATATATACACATATAATCATATAAAACATGTACTTATTTACATATGTAGATATTCTGTTAGCATCCCTTCTCAACTTACTGAGTTCTCCCTAAATTAAAAAAGCTAATATGTAACTATACTTAATTTTGTTCAGAGAAAATAGCAGAAAAATGGTGAATCAGATGATTGGAGTAGCTAGGCAGATGATACAGGAGAGGTACTATAATTTTTCACACTTTGGGAAATTGGTTTTCTCTGATTCCAAAGATATCTACTTCTCTCAGGAAGCTGAGACTCAAGCCAACTCTCTGAGGTAAGTGTGACTGACACCTTTTAATAACCCCCTTTTATGGAGGAAGAAGTAGGTAGGAAAAGGTTATAAGATATATTCAAGATCATGATATAAATGGCTAGATTGGTCCTTTTTATTCTAAACTCATTTCTCTTAGAGCTACATGTGACCTTCAAGAACATCTAATTTACATTCCACATTTCTAAGCCTTCCTGGGGATCTGAAAGTATGGAAAGTTGCAGAGTCTGTTGGTTTAAGTTGGACCAACCATGATGGTCCCTCGCACTTTTTTAAAGTATGGCAATCAAATAGTCAGCATACCAAGGTTTGGAGATGCTTGACATTTCCCGCTCTCAAAATCAGTCACGAATCTGAATGCCATGGCTATTACTCAGAGCTTCAGATATTTGGTGTAAGTGAAGACCGTGACCTAGGAACAGTTATTTTCTCAAAAGGCATTACCAACAATGATGGGAGCAAAATGCCCAGGCTGCCCTCCAGTGCATAAATCCCTGGCCCGGAAGGCCACGAGTCTTCCATGAGCAGAATGAATTTGGCTCAAGTCTCATTTTAATGCATTTATATTTTATAAGCACTGCATTTGGATGCAGTAAGTTAGCAAAATTCAAAATGAGCAAGTTAGAAATATACTTACTTAAAGATTTTCTGTGCTCTGGTTTCTGTTCTTTTATATCACTCTCATAGTGACTTAGTAAGTCAGTACTGGAGGATCTCTGGATTTTAAATAATTCCAGGTTTCTTGATGGCTAGAAATACCAAATAATTAGTCAGAACAAATTTACATGGAAGAAAGAATTAAAAAAATAATTTTGGGGTCTATTTTGATGTTATATTTAAAGGGACATCTAAAATAAGATAATTATTTTTGGAATGGGGCCTTTATGCTAAGCTTCATATTAAAAGTTAATAATAGTTATATATATGGTACTTACCAAATCCTGCATACTACCCCAGCATTCACATGCTATTCATCACAATGAGGTAGATATTATTATTATTATCATGATTATTATTAACCTTACTTTCCAGACAAGGAAACTGAAGCCAAAAGAGATAAGTCATTTGTCCAAGGCCACACAGCTAGTAAATGATAAACCCAGAATTTAAACACAGGCAATCTGACCCCACAGTTCACTTTTAATGACAATCTGCATGTGTGTGCTTATGAACGTGTGCCTGTGTGCAGGGGGGCACAAGAACTCACACCTGTAGAAAAAGCATATATTGGAGATAGGGAAAAGTCAGTTTGTTAATTATTTGTTAGTGTTTCAGTCCCAAAGTGAAAATGATATGAAAATGGAAGACTGAAATTAAAAAGCAATAAAATCACACAGAAAGTGTATTTTCCTATTGTGTATACCTTATTAAAAACAATCAAAAATATTTCTCAAGAATTTGAAATATTGGTGTCCTAAAATTAGAGGCTTGGTCTAAAATCAATATAAAATTAGTAGTTTAAAATAATATGATTCTTTTAGAGACATACTCTGAATGTGTGATTTAGTGTAATTTCATGAAATCCTAGATATGTTAACTTTCCTGAGAACAATCTAGCTAGCTTAACTGAAAAAACAATGAAAATAAGTACAAAGGATTATTATTTACTGGTATTATAATGGGGAATATGGGCTTAAATACACTGATGTTTATTTCCAAGAATATGCATTACATACTGCATAAACTGAAAATGTGAAAATTCAGTAGTTATTAAGCGCTTGTGTGGTTTTTACAATCTCCAGTAGATGAATGTCCATGTTATTTCATTTTTAAAAATGAATGCACTGTGTTTATGAAAGAGCAAAATCAAATGACATTCAGTTCCACAAATCCTGTCTGCTGAAACATTTTTAGTGGACTCTATTTAAACTTAAAATAACTTAATATCTCTCAATCCACAGGACCCATTTAAATACTTGTGAGTTATATGCCTAAGCAATGAGATTTAATGACAGCGTTTTAATTAATAAAGGTAACAGACAAAACAAATACATACCAATCTGTCAATTGCATTTTTGATAGCGTGGAACCAATCCAATATGATGAAGTCAATATCTGACTGTAGAAGGAACTCATTTCCTGATGCTGTTGTGATCTGAAAAAATGAAAATGACAGGTAACCAAACCAGATGAAACAGATCTCTTACATTTAAAAAAAAAATATATATATATATATCCTTTTTCAAAAGCACACTTCAATACATTGAAATATTTGCTTGTATTCCAGTAATTGTCTTTCTGGGAACTGGGAGACTAGGATCATTTTGAACTGCTCACTATAAACTGTTTTCTCATGTCATAACAAATACATTATTGTTTTCATAATAGAACGATTAGCTCAGAGTAGTTCTAAAGCTGAATTACTCCAACCCAAGGAGAAGCAAGCCAGGAAGTTCGGAATGATGCAGACAGTATGCACTTAAGTCAGAACCTTAGAAAAATACACCCGGGTGTGTCGGAATTCATTCTGCACTTCTGGCTCTTTCCTGTTTGTGTTTTTCAAACCTAATAGTATCTTCATATTTGATTTCCTTTTATGGAGGGCTCTAAAGCAGATTATTTACCAAAAGAGACTAAATGCAGCCTTTTGTAAGAGGTCATTCAAAGGAGTAATACTTGGCTCTTTCTACTTTCCTATCATAAAGATCTATAGGAAATGAATAAAGAACCAATTTCCCCACAAAGAAATTATATTAGAATAGACACTTATTTACATATTTGAACCTCTCACAGAGAGTATTTATCGAATGTACATCCCTGTTCCAGATGCCCAGGGTTCTTAAATAGGTGGCAATATTTACCACGTAACTATGCATTTTCCATTTCAGTGAAGCTGAATTGTGAGAGAAGAGGGGACCCTATAGAACCAGAACAACGCTCTTGATTTCACACATAAAGGGCTTCTTCGAGAAGAATTTGATTAGAGTGGGTGTGGGCAAGCTTTTTGCATTAGGCCATCAATCTGAACTATGAAGATTTTCCCTTTCTATTGTTGACTTTTTGTTTCAACAGGAAGATGAACATTTCCCAACTGCTGTCACACATCAAGCAAGACTTCAGAGGTTTAGAGGACTGACATTTCCACATACTGAATCGGGAGCCGGTCACCTCTTCTCAGCCTTACTTGCTCTCAATACGAGGTGAGCACTGAAATGTGGCACAGGTTCAGGAAATCACAAATCAAGCTTCAGCATGTCTCCATAATTCTATCATTAAAGTGACAATTACTGCCCAAAATAGCTCACTCTGAAGGTTTCAGTAAGTCTTATAGCAACATTTAATAACAGTGATCCCAGAGTGTTAAAGAAATCTTTGAATACACTCATACATAAATATTCATTTGCCATTTGTTTTTAGAAAAACTATATAGAGATGCAACATCACTCGCTCCTGCAATGTATCCCTTCCTGAGTGGGATGGAATTCTGTGTTTTACAACTGTAATGAGAACTATCTGAAGTGTATGCAATTATGAGAAGTGAAAGATTTGAAACTAAGAGAAAATTAATTACCCACACTAGAATTTGACAGATAACCTGGGCCAATCACTCTTTTTAAAAATAAAATTGCATGTAAGATTTGGGATGGCTCAAAGTGGTCTCCACATAGTCTTCTGTTTTATGTTTCTAGTAAAAGACAGTTAAGCTGATTCTTGCCTAATTATCTGAACACCCTTGCAGTGTTCTTTACTTACACAAAGTCCCAAATATTTACTTTATAAAATGTTGCCACAGAAATAGTAATCTGAAAAATATAAGGTCACTTCTAACTAACCCGAGAACACTGGTAACATCCTTGACCTCTACCTTCATCCTAATCTAAATGTAAATATTTTGATTGTGAATGGGTTATATCACAGCAGCATTTGTTAACATATAAAGAGAAACATGAATTAGCCCAAACATAATCTACAATATATTTCCCAGCCATTATAAATAAACCATTATTAAAAATATTAAAAGGAACATTTTCAAAGTACAAGAAACAAACATAATTAGATTTACTATATTCTAAGGGTTTTAGAAAGAGCCAACTTAGTTCAGTTTCTAGGCTAGTAAGTTCAAACAGTGATAAAGTATAAGTACTTAAGCATGCATTTGTATCTTTGGTGCATTCTGTGCTTCGCAAAGGAGATCTTTTACTGCTAAAACAACCAAAAGCAAAAATGTATTTTAAAAAGTTTCTTTGTCCAAATATTTACTGTATTAATCATACATAATCATTGATTTATAAATTCATTTTGAGAAGCTAGATCAGAGAACTATATGAATGCAATTCATTCAAAATATACTACCAGAGAGATACAGTTCACATCCTTCCTCTGTCTTCCCACTAATCTTTTGAGTTACTAGGCAGTCTGGAGAAGTCTGCTACTGCTCTCTACAGTTTAAATGCATCCATTTCTTAATTACAGTCAGTAATTGACTTTGTTCTGTTCCATTCCAGTCACTCACAGGAAGGCAGTTTCAAAGTCTTTGGCTGACTGGCAAAGCCTTTTCAATTCAGGTTCTCAAACTAGTTTTTTACATGACCTCTTTAGGTTTTCTGATAAATGATTTTCTGAATCATATTTGCACTTTGAACAATCGAATTTTCAACACTCTTGGGGGAAAAGATATCAGTAAAGACTGTTAGCTTTGACTGAACCTTTTGATTGAACAACTCCTGATGACAATCTAAAGTGATGTAGGATTAATAACAGGCATAAAAGATTTGATATTAAGCCATACTAAAGTCTTCTTTCTATATCATGTTTTGCTTAAGTGACAGATGCTCAGGTGAGTTTGCTAAAGAAAGACCTTACAGAAAATATGACGAATTTAGTCATGAGCTGCTGGTCTCCATTTTGCTTTGAATCCTCTTGGAGACAAATGTCTCTTGAAATCCTTCACCAAGTCTTATTTTGAAGGGATACATCCTGGCACCAAATCAGTCTTAATGAAATGTGCTAGTGTTGTTAATAACATATCTTTAATTTACCTGTCCAGGGAAATTTGTCCAAAACATTTTCACACTAAAAGAGAGAATCCATCTGAATTCTTGCTGGTAACAAATATCTAGGCAATCATATCAGCATATCCACTGGACAAATGTCTAACATAGGAATTCCTTAAGTCTTCTGGGTATTATCAGTTTTCCCTTGGGCTAAGAGCCTTGGTCTGTGTCCTTGAGATGGTTCTTCTGAACTTGGAGGCAAGGATATCCCAGCTCCAAACTCTACTGATTGGAGGTGAGGATAAATTTGTGTGTGTGTGTGTGTGTGTGTGTGTGTGTGTGTTGGGCTTTCATTAACAAATGTAGTATTATTGTATTAATTTAAAAGACCTTAAAGGAATTTTAACAAACAGTGTTTACATTAATAGTCTTTTCCTTTTCAATATAGTCAGTTAACTATCACCTATGCCAATATGGATTCTGGCAGTTAGTCTCCCCCATGTTAGATTTCAATTTAAATGAGAAATTAATATATAGAATGGCATTTATACTATTAAAATTTTTCATGTTTTGGTTTATCAGAATAGAAAAAAACATTTTAGAACTTCACATTTTTCCTTGCTATAAGAATAATTGAATTTACTATGGAGAATTTGGAAAAAATAAAGAAAGAAAAAGCAAATTAAACTATTCATAGATTCAGAGTAAACATTGTAGACATTTTAATTTAGTTATTGCTGTCTTTTATAAATAATAATCAAATAAATCCAATAACTATCAATGGACAACTTTACACTATCGAAAGATATCAGTAAAACATATATGGTGGTTAAATGTTATTGGCTACTTCTGTTCTGGTTGACTCCAGTGCATGGTGAGAGACTACTGAAGACATAGGGGATAATGAGTGATATATGTTCTCTCTTGCACAGTGGCGCTCTTCCTATTATAGAATCAGTCCCACAAATAATTCTTTGTTCAGGAGACTGAGAGGCTGTGTTTCTGACCAAACAGTGTCCTAATCCTCAGCAAGAACTATTTAAGCATCCATTAAGTGTAAGACACATTGCTAGAAGCTAGGATACACAGCCCCCACCCTCAGGAGCTCAAAATCTGTTTGGATAAATAGGACATATGCATATAAAGATAAATAACAATAGAAAATGTTTTACACTAAGTCCCAATGTGAGTGGCACAGACAATACTCATGTCAAGATTACAGAGGAGGGAGTAATTACCGGAGACACATTTACATCATGGAATTATGCATAAACTGTTGGTCATGATATGTTATTTGTTAAAGGTTGATTGTATCAGAACTTTAGTATATTGAGAATATGAATACTACCACTTGGTATGCAAAGTGAAATCAGCTTTAATGATCTCAAAGCACATAATAAACATTCTTCAAATGCAGCTTCCCTCCACTATCATAAAGTAATTTTGCAAATGAAGAAAATGAACCAAATGAAGAAAATGAGAATGCCATTCTATCAAATTGGCATCATTTTAAATGATAGAATTAAGAGATTACAAAGATCTTGATTTCTAGTTCACTAGTTCTCAGCAAATAGTTATATACAGTCAAGGACACTCTGCATATGAGAAAGGACAGTGATGATTTTGGCTTTAGTTGAGAAATTAGGAGTATAAACCTTAGACAAAAGTTGCTTTTCTCTTTACTGTTATACTAAAAATATCACACTTTTAAAAGATCAGCCAACATTCTTACTCAGATATTTCTTCTTTTAACTTACCTCAAAAACGACCACTACCCTAGTATGAAAACACACATCTACAACAGAATTGGGGCATCCGGAAATCTCCTGAGGTCCCAGAAAGCACTGAAACACTTCCATGTTTGAACTAAGTCTGTTTCACATTTTGCTTAGGATCTATCTTTGACTATAGACCTAAGGAGTGTTTATTTCACCTTAATGAAACTAAAATTGTATATAGAAAATATGTAATAAAGGAGGTTAGATATCCAAAGAGCCCTAAAAAACGTTAAGTGATGTATTACAAATAAGTGGATTACCCATTTAAGAGAAATGGAATTTAATTACTATTATGTTTGGAGACACTTTGGACTTAATAATAAAATTACTATATTTGAATTAAGTGGATATAAAAATAACATGTCAAAATATACTAAATGTAT